CAAAGCAGGACCCGCCTCAACCCATCTCCAGTCCAAACAACCATGTGCACAAAACATACATTCATATAACAGTCATAGTCAACAAACCGAACAAGCAGATCACATAGCATATCATTACCCTAACCGGGTTACCGACCTAACCGGTCACTAGCATAGCATCACTCTGTATATCGGGAAAACTGACCTTAACAAGGCCTCCTAGCATGTACCATCCTAGCTACCAGGATGCAGACACATCAAACAATAACATAATAACCATAACCGAATCTCAATACAATAAAGGGCCGGCCTTGGTGCCTTAGACCCTGTTGATATAGTGAGGATAACTCACCTCGAAACTGCCGGCTGAAAAGATAAGATCCCGCTGCTCCGAACTCTGGCACGAACTCCTCCACTAAACATCAAAACATACAACTCAATAAATACCCTTAATTACCAAAATACCCCTGGAAGACAACTGGTCAACCTTGGACGAGCCAAAGTCAACCCCTGACTGACCCTACTCGCCGAGTCATCCCGATGACTCGCCGAGTCCTTATGCTCAGAACTTCCCTCAATTAGCGACCCAACTCGCCGAGTCACCCCAAGACTCGTCGAGTCCAACAACTCTGAGTCCACTCGCACCCAACTCACCGAGTCATCCCTTGACTCACCGATTCATCGACTCAACCAGAAACATTGGGACTTCCTCGACAAGACTCGCCGAGTCCAAATGGACTCGTCGAGTCCAAGGCCATCTTCAACCTACTCGCCGAGTTGTTCTTCCAACTCGTCGAGTCCACCCATGTGACTCGTCGAGTACCACCGTTCTGAATCCATACAGAAGCATCTCAGGCCATGCAATTGATCCAAAACATAGATCCAACCTCCTACAATCCATCCATCACGTAAAGTGGCAAACTTTACGTGAATCTAACGAGATCTAAGCCATATTCACCTTAAAACCAAGGTTTGGGACATGGTGGCTTCACTAAGCACTCAAACACAGGAACTTTAATGCACTCTAGGCCTTCAATATTCCAGATCTGAGGTAGCAACCTCAGATCTATCCTCCAAACTCCAAAACATTCCAAGACATACTCCCCACAAACCCCAAAATGATGAAACTAGGAATGCACAGCCTAAGGACGAAGATATTACCTCCAAAAGATGCCTCAATAGCAGCCAAACTCGAATCCAAGCAAAGCCCTTTGATCCAAGCCACTTCTCCTTCAAGATCTCTTCAAACAACACCTCTCCAAGCTCTAATTTGCTCCACAAATGATCTCTCCACGAATTTAGGGTTTCTGGAACTCAAGGGGGGAATAAGGGAGGCTGTGGAGGAGTATAATGCTCTTTATATAGGGCTCAACCCCGAAAATTAGGGTTTTCTCCATACAGCACCTACTCGCCGAGTCCATCTAGGGACTCGCCGAGTAGGCCACTTGACACGCGACCATGACCGCGACCTGACTCGCCGAGTCATCCATGGACTCGCCGAGTCATCCTCTAAAACTTACACTTTCAGCCCTTCAACTCTACTCTTGCGATTCCGGGATGTTACAATTCTCCCCCACTTAAATTAGGCTTCGTCCTCGAAGCCTTCGGCATCTCATCTTCAAATTACTTCCCACGACGCACCACTTGACCTTGACCGAACCAAGTCCCTCAAGGTACAACCATAGAACCAGAAGCTCACTTCTCTTCCCCTACGGTGTCCCCATCACCTACTCAAACCGGGCACCAGCTGAATCCCTCGATAACCACACTCAACAACCGAGAATTACCCATGATGCTTTACTGCTCCAATTCTCATCCTTCACTTGACTCATGTGGCTATAATGCCTCGAACCATCGGATCCCCGATCCGAATTCCACTCTATCCATCCCATGACGACCGAAAGACCCATTCTTCCATTTCGGAGCAACTCCCCCGAGTTCTCCTCTCGCAATCACACACTCATGCTGATCTAGCTCTAGCACCCTCAGGTTTGGAAAAACTGATACACTGATGATATCCTCGAACATCCTTCCAGGATGAACCGCTAAAACGTAGCCAAAACCCTGATCAGAATCACACTGAGAGTCCAAGACTCTTTCTCTGTATCCCTTCCGAATCCCTCTCCCTGGCTCTACATCGCGGTATTCCCTCCGCGCCCAAAGCAACATATCAAGTCGAATGAGCTTTTATTCCACCGCCGCAACACACTACTCAAGGACCATCGACGGACCACTCCAATCATAACTCTACACTGCCGCTTTCACTTCCGTGAATTCGCACTCCCTTTTGGGATTTCATTCCTCCCTCTTTCCTTACCAAGGAACCGCTTGTCCGCCCAGTCACCATGACAGGCACCATGGTGCTCATCCCACGCTACATTACCTCTTTAAAGCGTACCCAACATCTATGCATCACCACTACTCTGACTCTCATCACAGGGACTCTCAAGCCCATGCACTACCTTCACTGCTCAAGATTGCTACCCGGGGCCAGACCTCCCAATGTAATCACACTGCAACATACGCAACCCATAACCTTAATCCGATCCAACAATACTCGCAGAGTCTTCAGCATGACTGGACCGCCTCCCCAGGCCTTCAGCCAATCTGGACCACTCTCAGAACCTTCAGCCAATCTGACTGGACCGTCCTCCGAGCCTTCGGTCTGACTGGTACGCCTACCGGCTTACAGTCTATCCGGACCGCTCAACTAGCATTCATCACTCCGAACCATCCCTTCGGGAAATCCTCCCGCACATACCGTTCTAGCCCTCTAGGGGTTCCGAACTCTATCTCCATCATACATGCTCGAACCCGTCCTGCTCCCATGCCTTCCTCAATCAACTGCTCTAGGTCTGTATTCCGCCCCGCACGCCTGTTACTCACTCATACGAGCCTGCTCTCGACTAATAGAAATACCGCTGAATTTCCCAAGCAGCTAAACAACCTCTCAGGCCCAACGATCATCCGGAGAATTTCCAATTCTCCCCCACTTAAGACACTGACAGTTAGTCACCGGTCGCCATCACCGATCTCCCCAAGCAACCTTGCAGGAATCGACACATGCACTCAAAAATGTTTTTCACCAACACCAACAACTTTCATACAATCATGTTCCCATGCTGCACAACCTGCTCGAAAGGAACCCAATCTTCAACTATCAATTCCTCAGACTACAGAATCTAACTGGCCTTCAAACCAACGCCGCATCCGCCACCAATCCTCACAAAGATAATCAACGATAGCTCGAAGTACAAATCCATAACCATAACGATCCTTCAGGGAACAAAAGATACTAAAACGAAATCTCGATCACAACTCGCCAAACCCTCAAGGAACAACGGATACCACACGAAAACCCGAAACGCAATTCAACGAAACCAACAGATAACAATACTCCACAACAATCATAAATAATCAAACATCAGAAAGAAACATACCCGCAGCAGCAAGCTGAAAAACACGACCCTAAGCCCTTGGGGGCTCAGCTCCACCCTGATCTCCACCTGTGATCCTCAACGTAGCCGGTGCTGGAGCCTGCACCGGTCCTGTAGCAAGCCGTGGACAGTTGACCTTCAAATGTCCAACCTGATGACAATGATAGCATATCCTCAAATCCCGAACCGGCACTGACTGCCGACAATCCCTCGCATAGTGTCCCTCCTTTCCGCACTTGCGGCACGCTCCACCGGACCGACAAACCCCGGCGTGACCCCTTCCACACTTTCCACAGACGTGGCTACCCTGATCTCCCATCCTGGAATCAACGGTCTTAGACCGTTTCGTCGCCGGCTGCGACTGAACCGGAGCTTGCCTCAGCTCACGCATTTGTAACTCAATCTCTAACTCACGCCGCCTGGCGGCCTCCTGCAACTCCAGCAAAGTCTCGCACCTCTGCGTAGACACAAACTGTCTGATGTCTCTCTTTAGCATACTCAGATATCGGGACATCTGAG